ACTCATTAACCATGAACCAACGAAGGGTTACCTCATAAGAAACACAAGAACCCAGTTCTTATAGAAAGAACTCGGGAATCTCATAAACAACCAGGACTTCAGCAGAAAAAAGAATGACAACTCAGAAGACAAGATTCTTTCCATTATAAATGGCTTCAAAAAATACAAGATTACACATCTTACAAGACCCAATGAACTCGGTACTACGACAAGCAAGGTAGCAAAGAGGAACCCGGACACAACTAGGCTCTGGAACGACTACGTGTTCTAAATTGCTACCCGGTAGAACAAACCGCACTCGGCTACACTGTTTTCTTCAAAGGCCGAACACAGTACATCCAAGGCGGAAATCAGTAGCATGGCGGGACAACATGGACTAGGGGAGGCCAGCAGACATCTATCTACCCAAGTCCGATGTGATGCTGGATATGGTGTTGATCTGCACCGGACAGTCTCAGGGCAGGCGACGAGGATCAACCCAGAACTGCTGGATGAAGGAACGTATCCCACATCACAAGAGTTCCTCCAACTACCACTACCTACTTCCCGGTACAATGCCGCTGCGGGATTAGTCTACCTCTAATCCCTATCACAAGACTCCCTCCAGCTACGACAAGATACACAAGAACTACAAAATATGCCCGGGGGCTGCTCTAATTCACAAACTATCATATTCATGACTACGGAGATTTCAGACCACGCAACAAAATGCTCGATGAATCAAAACAGCACACCAGGAGGATATTTATAGACCAAAGAAGCGGTGCACATGGACCAAGAGCACAAACGGAATAAACGTAACAAAGGACACAGTGAAAAGACAGAATTCAATGAAAGAGGACTCAGACGTGAAGGAACAGTACTCAAGAACGAGCATATTCGGAAGAATATACCAACACTGTACAACTCATGAACAAACAACATTTACTCTCAACCACCACCATACAACTACATCTAACAAAAGCAGACTACCAGAGAACATGCCAAGATCCTGCATCCGTGTTCTTTTTGAATAAAAGAACCCAGGTATATGCTCGGGGGCTGCAACAGGAGAGGTTTTCAGTTCTTTGAACAACTCAGATTCAAGACCCTCCAACTCTTTGTTCCAAATACCAAGAGGCTCAGGGGCTACACTCAGTGAGTGCACTTTTTTCTTCAAAAAAAGCGCACATCACTCAGAAGACTTCTTCAAGACATCAGTTTTCAAACAACATTAGATTCAAGACCCTCAAACTTTTTGTTCCAAATAGCAAGAGGCTCGGGGGCTACACTCAGTGAGTGCACTTTGTTCTTCGAAAAAGCGCACGTCACCAAGAAGACTTCTTTAAGACAGACCACTTCAAGACCTTATGACAAAAAGAACCCGGACATAAATATATCCGAGTTCTATTTGATAAAGAACCCGGGTATATGCTCAGGAGCCCTTCGACGAAGAATCAGAGCAATTTCAAGACAAGACCCTCCAGCTCCTTGTTCCAAAAAGCAAGAGGCTCGGGGGCTACACCCAGATGGGTATACTTTTTTCTTCAAAAAAGCACAAATCACTCGAAGATCCCAAGAAGCGCTACACGGTTTCACTCAAGAAAGCACTCGGACGACACTTTTTCCTACTCGGCAAGACCTGAAGGAACAAGACGAGGATTCCAGAGCTTAACCATGAAGTGCTCGAGGGCTTATCGATGCGGGACCCACGGGATACCTCGTAAGGAAGGGAGAAGATCTAGTCTAACTAGGATTCTTCCCATGTAATCTTAGTAGAAGTATTATTCTGTAATCCTACTAGGAACTTTCATTGTAAACCGACTAGGACTCTGGCCTCCTAACTATATAAAGGAGGGCGGGGTTTCTAAAGAGAGAGGACACTTGACAATTAATCCAACGCAAAGGCCAACACCGAGTGGACGTAGGGCTATTACTTGATCACGATCGAGGGTCCGAACCAGGATAAATCGACTGTCTCTTGCGTCAACCGTCGAGTTCTGCATACGCTGAAGCTTGAACAAACTGCCCCGGGTACCCCCAAGGCAGGCTATCGGTGGTGAAACATCGACACTCACCATACACAACTCTTGACGTCTCAGTGGTTGAAGACACAAGTGAGGGAGAGAGGTTTGTTTGCTTCAACGCGAGGCAAGATTGCCTGTCGCGCTATGCATCCCTAGGCATCTAATTTCAGTCGCCTGTTAAGATGTAGATTGATGCTTGGGGCATCCATCTGCCTGGGAGGGTAGGAACCAATCAAGTCATAAATGCCTCATGTTGTGTGTAGTGAGGTACAAGAACTAACCATGGCGTTGGCTTAAAACTTCCTTTTGCACACAGGTTTCACAGCGCCAATTTGCGACAAGCCATTAACAACCAGACATTGATGTAGTTTGTGCATAATGGGTGGCAACACTCGTTAGGGAAGAGTACGTGCCAAAGGCTCCCGTAAGATCCATAATAATACCAATATAATTTATGCCTTGTAATTTTTTCTTTACCTTTTGTTGCGGGCAGGGACGCATAAGAGGCTCTTGTCAACAATAAAAAAATAGAAAATTTATGCACACATAAGTTACACTTTAGTGAACATAGCGATACTTCCACTACTCAGACATGTTTTGCACTAAAGAAAAAAGAAGAGCAACTCACTCAAATATATGTTTTCCTATGAGACTTTGAAGTGGTACAGTATTGTGGAAGAAAGAGAATGATGTTTTCCTTTATTCCAAACACTATCTTCATTTTTTTATTTTGTTTTCCCCATTTTTTTAAAAATAATTTCTTTAATCCAAACAGAGTCTAAGCTAAAGTGCCTTTAAAAAACCGATAACGATATGACGTGGGCGGGCGTCTGTCCGTTTGGACACCGCGCGTCCGCACTCCGCCTCCCGCAGTTTGCTTTATCCAACGCTAATCGTCAGTCCAATTCTAAAAAAAAGACATTGTTGCTACCTTCTCCAGTGCGAGGCTCCTCGCTGTAGGCAGTGCGAGGCCGCTCACTGTGGTTTTCTCCAGCGCGGCGGCGCCGCATCCGCTCCCATCCCGCGCTACTCCACGCTCCTCTCCTACGCTCCCATCCCACACTGTGCCCCCATCCACCTCGCCTGTTGCGGAAGGGGAGGCAAGGAGGCATGCGCCTGCGCCTTTGCTTGGGGGAGGCATGTGCCTGCGCTCTCATCCACCTCGCGCCGTTGGCAGCAAGGGAAGGTTTGCGCCTACCCCTAGGTGTATGTTGGGTTGTTAACGTCCCCCTGACCTAAGCTTGTAGGCTACCGCAGTTCCCCACCAGAGACATCGTGTCCACCGGCGACGCTGTGTTTCGAGTGTTTCAGACGTTTCATAATTTTGTTTCAAGTGTTTCATCTGGATGTTTCAAAAGTAGATCTGGATGTTGCATATGTTTTCAAATGTTTCAGACATTTTAAGACTTATGTTTGAAATGTTCAATATGAATGTTGCAAAAGTAAAACTGGGATGTTGCATATGTTGCAATAGCAATATACGCATGTTGCAAGCATATGTTTCAATTGGTTCATGTGTTTCAGACGTTTGTTTCAAATTTTCATATGGATGTTTCGAAAGTTGATCTAGTGTTGCACATGTCGCATTGACTATACACGAATGTTTCAAGTGTTTAATTTATCTTCATATGTATGTTTAAAAAATAGATCGGATGTTGCACATGCTGCAATGGCGCCATTGAATGGTAGAGAGCGGCCTACTGTAGGGCTTCGTCTCCTACCTCGCACCTTCCTTGTGTGGCGCGCCTCGCCTTCCCCTCTCTTCCCTTCCCTCCATCTCACCGTGGCAGTGTGAGCTCGATTTGAGTGAGATGGGCATGGGACGAGAGAGCTGCGTGCATCGAGCGCAACGTGGGAGCTCCGTCCGGACGGATGCCGCCTCCGGAGCAGGATGGTGCGCGGGGTGGAGGGAGTTGTGTGGTCACAGTAGAAAACGGGTTGCAAGCATGAGCGTCCGGACGCGCGCATCCATCTAAAAAACCAGGCGTATAAGGTTGTTCCAACAGGAGATCCATTGCGGAACCAAACTCAAAAATGGGTCTCCAGCACAATATCTATAGTGTCCAACAGAGTATCTATATGGAAAACCTATTTTGGGTGTTAGGAGAGACATAACCCAAATCTGAGTATCATCTCTGCTGGAGACCTATTTGTAGAAAGGGTTATCTTTTAAGTCTTGTTGTTGGAGATGACCAAAAATAGGAATTGAACTCTTTGCCTGTAGCGCTACCCAAAAGACGAATATGTCTTTTATTTTGGGTCGCGACTGTCTCCAATAAGAAACCCATATGGGCACCAAAACCCAAAATTGGTAGCAAGAGACCTTTTTGGGTTTCCTGAGAGGCACAACCTAAATATGAACATTCTCTCTCCTGGAAATCCATTTGCAGAAATAATTCTCTTTTGGGTCTTATTGCTGGAGAAGATGTCGAATAGGTATTGAACCTTTTACTTGTAGCGCTATCCAAAAAACAAATAAGTCTTATATTTTAGGTGTTGTTGTTGAAGATAGCTAAGGGGTTGGTTTGCTCGTCATCTCCTCCCGTCTCATTTCGATGGAAGATCACAAGATGCCGGGACCATTAAAGCCCAACCCATGAAAGCACTTCCTGCCCATCGCATGTGAGATGCTGGCCCCTATTTGTAGCCTAGTCCCAACCACTCAATTCAGATATTTAACCTATTCACTTATTGGTTTCAGTCAGAGCTTCTCGGTATTTTTCTCTCACGTACATCAGCAGCACAGGTCCGGCTTACAAGGAAAAAAAAACCCTACGAACCGGCTGACTGTCGACTGTCGCGTTCTTTCCACGCCAACCCTACCCACGGCCCCACCACCCAGGGCCTAATTCCCCTGCGCTCCTCTCCGTCCAGCTACCAGCTATCCTTCGTCAATCCTCATACCGCGACGCCTCTCTCCCCCCGAGCGTCCCTCCTCGAAACCCTAGGAGCGTGCGGACAGGCGGCGGCGGCGGCGGCGGCGGCGGCGAGGTGATGGCGATGGACCCGGACGCTGTGGCGAAGGCCTTCGTGGATCACTACTACCGGACGTTCGACACCAACCGCCCGGCGCTGGTGGGGCTGTACCAGGAGACCTCCATGCTCACCTTCGAGGGCGAGAAGTTCCAGGGCCCGAACGCCATTGCCGGCAAGCTCGGATCTCTCCCCTTCCAGGCCTGCGAGCACAACATCGTCACCGTCGACTGCCAGCCGTCGGGGCCCCAGGGAGGCATGCTCGTCTTCGTCTCCGGCTCCATCCGCACCGGCCCCGAGGAGCACCCCATCAAGTTCTCCCAGGTATGCACCCCCGCTTGGCCTTGATCCGCCTTATTAAGGCTTATTTTATTGTGTCTGGTCCGCGATTACTTGTCACCTGATCTGATCCGTTGTCACTCCTGTGATTCCTAGGTTGGTTTGGCCCTGATCTCGTGGTAGTCCGTAGAAGGCCCTTGGTTTGTTTGTTGTTTGATTGAATGGTGCCAATCATCTGTGCTTACTGTTGTGATGGTTCGATTGGTCTCATGATTATCTGCTTAGTATAAATGTCTGGTCCATGATCCTTGTGGCGGAGTTTGTTAACTGTTCAGAGCATTTGTTTTTCTACTAGGCAGCTTGTTTCGTTTAGATCTATATGTAATTGTTTATGCTAGTCCTGGATCCATCCATTTTTCAGTTCTGTTTTGATTGATCGGATAGGCTGGTGTCTTGTTGTCTATGCATTCTGTTGGCCTTCCGACCCTTCAAGAAATTGTTGGTGCTGTTGTAATTGACTGTGCCGGTGCACAATGTATGACTTATTATGCTTTTGTCCTTAGTTGTTGCGTTAGGTTGTTTCAAACGTACACATTTTTTATTGGGCACACTATCATTGAAATTTCTGTTGAATGTCAGCTAGTCTGTTATACAGACGTTTCGATCAAAGTGCGGGATTTCTGTTCGTCTCTGTGGCTTTAAGTTCCATGGCAAAGTCACTGGTTCGTGCAATATTTTTTGCAGTGCTGCTGAGTACTCGAGATAGACATGCATCATGTTCTGCTGCATCATTTTTTTAATGATTCATACACTCTGGTTGATCAAATTTGTTTTTGTCTGTTTTTTTTTCTTGAAGTCTTGAACTCCTACTCCAGAAATCCTTTTAGCATGGAGTGAATTTGAAGTACTAGTGTTTGTATCTGCGGTCAGGAGGTCTTCCTTAAACATTTGTGGACCCTGTGTTCTGCCATTATCTCCTGAAGCAGTTAGATATGAATTCATTGCCTCTGTGGCAACAAATAAACTTCATTTCCAGTGTGAAACTTTTAAACATTGGCCCATGTACATTTTAGAAATTTTAATATTTGCCTGCCTTCTACATTATTTTGTATATTTTTCTCCATAGCAAATTATGTTTCAAACTTTGGAGTACTTAGAAGGCTAATGACACTTAGTTGTATCTCTTAATGGATGTTAGTTTATTAATGTTTGCTTGTATAACATGTGCATGATGTCTTTTGTATATTCTCTGGCTGCAAATGTACAGTTTATCTTAAATCAAAGTATATAAAGCTTTGTTTTGATAGTACTTCTGTATCTTTTGATCATAAACTCCTATGTTGGAAGCCATAGACAGAACTATCAACTTGCCTTACTTCCTGCATGACTAACCTTATCAATGGTAGTAAGGTTCTGGTGTGTAGCTTGTGGTTTTAAACACTGGATTAGCTTTTGCTCCTGTTTGAAATTATAATTTTCATTTCGTTAGGACAATTGTTTGACCGCCAATTACTCTATATTAGTATGCCATTTATGTGATACAAAATGATACCCATAAAGTCATGCATAATTTTCAGTATGAATCTAGTAACATCAATTCTGTATTACAAAAATCATGTATTGGCAAAGAAATTGTTGGTCAAAGGCTTGTATAGTTTGTGTAAAGTATGATTGTATTCCGATAGCAACCCCTGCTTATCCAATTCATGGTTTGTTGAACTGTAAATTGCTTCTAGTGCATTCTTTTTACGCGGAGTGCACATCTTGCCTTATGTTGGTTCTTTATGTTCCTCCACCAGCACAAGTATTCTGCATTTCATTGATGTGATATTCTGTCTCTGTAGGCATTCCATTTGCTGCCGGCGGGTGGGTCCTTCTTCGTGCAGAATGACATGTTCCGCCTGAACTATGGCTAAAGACAGCCAAAAACTCTTGTGATGAACGAATTGGTTAAGGGTTTGATGTTGAAATGATGAAATACTGAATGTTGCTGCTACTCTTGTCTCCTTTGTATCTCCTTTGTTGGCTGCTTCACTGTATTACAAGAAATTGGTAGACTTTGTATGCCTGTGTTGGACTATTTCAGTTGTTTTGAACCATGTACTATGGTCTCACGGGCACCATTTCTTTGTGCAATGTGAACTGAAACGGTCCAGATTTGCTGGTGTGCCCTTCTACAAAACCAATGTTAGCTGGTTGATATGCATTTTGTTACAATAGCAAGCATTCGAGTTTCTGGTGCTTTTCACTTAGGGCCGTTTGGATCCTTTCATTTAGAGGAATTGAAATTTACTTAATAAATTAAGCGTTTTGCTTGGAATTTGACTCTACTTTCTAAAGTTAACATATAAGTCTATCTAAAATTCATAGGGTGGAAGATGGAAATTAATTCTATAGATCTACATTATATGTTTCTATTTTGTAATTTATAACATGCTCTTTAAGTCGCTCTATTACGGTAGAAATGTAACATATAAATATCTCTCTCGTATAATCTACAATATAATTTATATACAACCATATTAGCTTAATTAATATGTGTCTAAATAATGATTATGAAAATAAACATAATTCATATACAACCATGTCAGTTATTTGTTTGTAGAAGTTTGGTAAATTTTTGTTCTGCGCAGGAAAGTCTAATTATTGGGATGTGGCAAAAAAAACCTCAGAGCCTATTTGGAATGTAGGAAATTTTTCTATTCTTGCGTTTCTCACGTGAAATTGAACTGATTCTTGGACGGTTCCTACGAAATTCTTCCATGGCTGGTTAGGTAGCTCAAATGATACGACTTTTGCTTTCATGTCTACAACTAACATGGCTGGTTAAGGAAGGATGACTTTTGCTTTCCTACAACTAATGAAATTGAATTCAATGTGTGCCAGAATTTCGATGCCTGCAACTAATAAGATTGAATTTTCAAACTATAATTTCCAAAAAAAAGTTCGTGACAAATTTTGAGAACTAAAACTCCAGCTGGGAAGGGGATAGATCGTGAATGCCAGCCAGGAGGTCTATTCTGATGACAAGAGCATATATATCAACAAGCAGGGTGATAGCATATGGGCCAAAAATAGACGACGAAGCCTAGTAAATAGAGCCCAGAGGCCAGAAGATAAGAGCTAACCCGGAACACCCGGTGCGAGGAACCCAATTCCATTTCAGTGAGCGCTCACTCAGAATGAGTCTAGCGAACGATTCGACTAGCCCCCGCACTTGGTGACCGCCCACTCCCCTCCCTGCATGCTTTTCCATGTTGCTGATGTCACCCTAAAAATACAATTTATTTATTTTAAATTGCTATAACTTCTAAATGGTGTATCCGATTTTAATTCCGTCTGCACCGGTGTGTTTTATGCGACGAGGCGAACAAAACTATACCCCGGTTGCATATATTTCGAAGAATTTTTCTACTAGCAATTTATGTGTATTAAATTATAACATATAATTTATAACTTACAACTTATGCACAAAAGTTATATTCATTAACTTAGATACATAAGTTGTATGGAATAACTTATGTACACAAGTTGTGTTTCATAACTTTTATATATAAGTTGCATTTCATAATTTTTGTGTTTCTAAGTTTTGGTATAAGTTATAAGTTAATTCGTTCATTTGCGTGTTAATAACTTTTGTGTTTGCAAGTTTTGTCATAAGTTATAAATTAGTTCATTTCTTTGTGTTTAATAACTTTTTATATATGAGTTGTGTTTCATAACTCGTGTTTTCATGTTTTTACATAAGTTATGTGTTATAAGTTATACGTTATAAGTTACATGTTCTAAGTTAGTACAAATAAGTTATTATTAAATTTTTTTTTGAAAAATATGTAAGTAAGGTCTAATTTTGTTCGTCTCATCGCGTAGAGCACACCGGTGTAGACGGAATTTAAAATGGATACACCGTTTAGAAGTTATAACATTTAGAAATAAATGTTTTGCTTTTTCTGGGTTATGTCAGCGCTGAAGTCATACACATATAAAGGTAGTCAGACTGGCGGGAGAGGGGTGAGCGGTGCGCCTGGGATGTTTCCCAAAAGGAAAAGAGGTGGTTTTTTTTTTTCAAAAGGAAACTCAGGATTCTTCTCGAGAAGACGACTGGTTCCGGGTCACAATATATTTTTTTTATAAAGGAAGCTTTTATTAAAACATACATCGAGTTGATATAAAACCAAGCTGGACAACTTTGGGCCTCTGCCTAACATGAGGCACACAGTCAAAGAAAGAGAAGAAACTTGGCACAATCTAGTGATTATCAATTTATAAACTAGACCACCACCTAGGTGCCTAGGAGAAAAAAAATCAATGATCACTTGTGTCAACTGATGTGATACCGCTACAACTATATCCTGTAAATCCGGCTTCTGTAGAATAGCCCAAGTACATAGCCATTGGGTAACCAAATAGATAACCTACACAAGAAAAATAGATTTTTTCTTTTCAAAGACAATATCATTCTTGCTGAGCCAAATAGACCAACAAGTCGCAGCTCCTCTTAGCAGGAGTAAAAGCTTGACATCTTTGTTGACACCTCTTTGCTAGCCACTGAACATATGACCTATATTGTGGGGTTTTAAAAGACCTATCGCAACATGAATAAAAGACCAAATTGAACAAGCAAACTGGCGATCAAAGAACAAGTGCTTAATTGTCTCTTCTTTGTGACAAAAGCAATAAGTTTTACTACCTTGCCAATTGCGCTTTACTAGGTTATCCTTTGTCAATATAACTCCTCGTCGTAGGTACCACAGGAAGTTTTTTATTTTCAGAGGGGCTTTCACTTTCCAAATGAGTTTGTTAATGTTTGGGATGTCAGTATGTAATAACGCTTGATAGTGTGACTTCACCGAGAATTTTCCATTTTGATATAAATTCCAGTAAAACTCATCTTGTTCATGGGCCAACTCTATATTAGCAATACAGAGCAACAAACTGTTCCACGCTACTAATTTGTGACCAATGAGGTATCTTTGCCAAGATAGGTTTGGTGATGGACCAGAAAGAACATCCGCAATGGTAACGTGTTTAGGTCTGGCAATGTTGTGAAGACACTGGTACTGTTCCTGTAAAGACGAATTCCCTAGCCATTTGTCTTCCCAAAAATGTACTTGTGTTCCGTCCTTTACAATGAAGGATCCAAAGCGGAAAAATTCTCGCTTCACCTTCATAAGACTAGACCAGAAATGTGAGTCCCCATTTTTCCATTCCACTTGTATGAATGGTTTCGAGCCTAAATATTTATTGTGGAGTAATTGCTGCCAAGTCCCCTCTGTGGTAAGTAACTTGAACAACCATTTACTAAGTAGAGCAATATTTTAATATGCAGATCATGAATTCCAAGACCTCCTTGGTCTTTGGGCTGACATAATATGCTCCATTTAGCTAAACGATATTTTTTTGCTCATCACCTTGCCAGTAAAATCTAGACAGGAAATAATCCAATTTCTTTTGGACTCCTTTTGGCAGGGCAAAGGACATCATATACATTGGTAGGCTGCTAAGCACTGGATTTATCAATATTAAGCATCCCCAATTGAAAGATGTTTCCCTTCCCAACTACCCAGTCGCCTCTCAAAACGTTCCTCAACCTTTCTCCACTCAGCATTCCTAAGCTTCCTAAAATGTATAGGAATTCCAAAATACCGAATTGGAAAATCACCAGACTTACAGCCAAACAGTTTGACGTATTGATCAAGGTGGTCTTGGGCATTTCTAAAACAGAACAATTCACTCTTATGAAAATTGATTTTTAAACCCGATACTTGCTCAAAAGCACAAAGCAGCAGCTTCATGTTTCGGGCTTTCTCAAGGTCATGATCCATAAAAAGAATTGTATCGTCAGCGTATTGTAGAATAGATAATCCACCATCGATGAGATGAGGCACTACTCCACTAATCTGCCCGTCCACTTTGGCACTATTCAAAAGAATAGCTAGCATATCTGCTACAATGTTAAAAAGCAATGGGGATAAAGGCCTTTCCTAGTTTGAAAGAAATGCCCGACATCGTCATTAACATTAATTGCTACACTCCCACCCGAAATGAAAGTTTTAACCCAATTTATCCACTTAGGCGAAAACCCTTTCATTTGTAGTGCTTGAAAGAGAAAGGGCCATTTAACTTTATCATACGCATTTTCAAAATGTATCTTGAGGATTACCCCACTCTGTTTCTTTCGATGCAACTCATGAACAGTCTCATGCAAGATGACAAGACCCTCCAGAATGTTTTGTCCTCACATAAACGCTATTTGAGTTGGACTAATAACATGTTCTGCCACTGAATTTAGCCTATTGGTTACAACTTTTGTGAAAATTTTGAAACTCGTATTAAGCAGGCAGATCGACCGATATTGTTGGATCACGTTCGCTTCTTGGACTTTTGGGATAAAGATAATTACCCCAAAGTTCAAACTAAAAAGTGGTAAATCCCCTGCATATAAGTTATGGAACATTTGCATTAGATCCTCTTTGATGGTATTCTCGAATTTCTGATAAAATTCAGCTGGAAAACCATCTGGACCAGGTGCTTTATTATGTTCTATATCAAAAATTGCTTCTTGCACTTCTTGCTCGGTAAAGGGGGCGGTTAGAACTTCATTCTTAGTCTGTGTAACCTGAGGAATATCAAAGATCCTATCCTCCTCCAGAGTAAAGGAACTAACCTCGGGTTCTCCAAAAAGTTCCTTATAAAACCTAGTGATATAGGCTTTTAGGTTTGCCTGACCCTCAACAATGCCATTTTCATGATCAAGGGAAAAAATTCTTTTTTTCCGGTGTTTACCATTGGCGACCATTTGGAAGTATCTAGTGTTGTTATCTCCCAAAATGACATCTTTTACCTTTGCCCTCTTATAGTACTTGATTTCCTCTTCTCTAAGTAATTTGGTCAGTTGATCCTGAGATTGAGCAAG